TGTAAGGGGGGGACGGGGGGGGGGAGGGGGGGAGTGGGGGGGGGGGGGGGGGGGGGATCCGTCAGCATCAGACAAAGCGCGTCATATACCGTTAGATGTCATTGTCCTTCCAGCACTGCAGAAACAAACAGGAAGAGAGGAGAACAAATTATAGCGTCTAGTTATGAAAGCCTTAAAAATATGAGCAGAAAAAAAACACAAACAAATAAATAAATTTAAAAAAGAAAAGAGAAAACGTGGGCTCAAGATTGCACACTTGATTGCGGGGCTTTTATGATTTGCATGATAATGACGGCGTGTCAGAGGCCCACCTTATCCCGGGATTGGTGAAGTGCCTCAGCCTGCAGTCCACTCCACTGCGCACAATAGGGCCAATTTGTCATTCAATAGGCTGGAGGAGAATTTATTACAGCACAGATAGCTGGTTAATACCAGACTCAACTGAATATCATGTGGGGTTTTGCTTGGTTTAGGCCTGTTATTTTATTTTTACTCTTATTCTGAGAGATTCTTTGTTTTACATCCTCTTCTTTCTTTTTTTTTTTCCCCTCACTGTTTTTGCCAGAGAACATCAATAGTGAAAAAACCAGAGGACTCAGTTTTATGCCGCTGAGACATCAATGCTGCATTTGGTAAGTGGACTTAAATAATATTAGATCAAAATGTGTGTGTTTTTTTTTTCTTCTTTTAAGGAAATTGATTTTAGTTTGTTTTACACAAATCATTTGAAATATAGAACATAATTGAATATATTTATTGTCCCCTTAAGGGGAAATCTGTCATGAACTCAAGGGTGAATATTACATATTATACACAGAAGCAGACAATAAATACACATACAATACATATAAACAGCGAGAAATGTCATCTACATGCACAACAGTTATCACACACCTTCCAGGCCTCAATGTACTCTCTCAAATTTTAATGGAGGTGTATAAAAAATATTTAAAAGGGTTCAGTTTAGTTCTTTGGGATTCTGTAAATAATAATAGTAAAACAAATCCAAACCAAGGCCTAATGAATCAGCAGCATTAGTGGGCTCTGTGTGTGTGTGTGCGTGTGTGTGTGTGCGTGTGTGGTGTGTGAATGGTGTAAAGCAGTGAAGCCAGGAGACGTCAGGTAAAAATAATAATTGTTAAACATGCAGTTGGCACCAGCCTCAGAGGCAGCTGTGCTTTGCGCAATAACTGTCACCCATGTAGCAATCTGAGGAGAACCGCGGGTTAAAGCCTCCGCTCGCCCTCTCTTTCATCCTCTGTCTGTCACACAAACACACACTTTCTCTCTCTCTCACTCTGCCTGCTGTTTCTCTCAATCTCAGCTCGCAGTTCTAGCTTTGGAGGTGTTTTTTTATTATTATTTCTTAACACACACCTGGATAGGACTAGAGCATGTGTGTGTGTGTGTGTGTGTGTGTGTGTGTGTGTGTGTTTGAATCGGGCCGGCCTGGTTGCTGTTTGACCTGGTTTGTTTTGGGTTGTTGATCAAGCATGGCCTCTGTTTTGTCGCTGGCGCCAGTCAGTCTGGAGTTGTGCAGCTCACCCTCCCTTCCCTCTGCCTCTATTCATCCCCTCCACAGGTGTGCAGGCAGCGCAGAGCCGCTCCAAAAGTCAGCAAAGCTTCGCCAGGGACTCACACACCCAACTGGAGGCACAGTGTCACAAGAGGGGGGCAAAAAAAAACACACACACACATGCACACACACACACACACCCGCTGAGAGGGAAATAAACCCGAATAAAATCTTTTGGGTTTTTTTTTTTTTTCAAATCAGCTTTTTTTTCCTTCATAATGTTGATTCTGAAAAAGGGGGAAAAAATGGACTCATCTCCTTCAAGTTCTCTCTTTTTAGTTTTCATGCTGTTTTTTTTTAAGTTCTTAACGTGTGAAAACATCGACTTCCCATCTTCGAGGTTTTTTCTTTCTTTTCCTTGTCAGAAACCGATTCACAGAGCGACAGATTGTGAATTGTGTCCGAGCGACTCCAGTTCAAAGCTTTACTAAACTGCGAAAAAAGAAAGAAAAGAAGAAAAATGAAAATCATTGTACACGTTCCTCACATCTATTGTTTAAAATAGATGACTTGTGTTTTGAAAAGGGGCGCCGGTCCCTGGTACCTTAAACATGTTTGATATTGTAAAGAACGATTCTAATTCGAGACAATTAAGCTTGTAAATACAGAGACACAAATGTTCTATTAAGGTATGTGGAAGGACTTATATGAGTAAATAGATTATTGTAATTATTATAAGATATTTTTTATTGAAAACCGTTGTTTTTTTTTGTTTGTTTGTTTCTTTGGTTGTTGTTGTTTTGTTTTTTTGCAGTTCTGTAAATATTGTGTTTCCACTCTTAGTGAATGAACGTGTTTTATGCTCTGCCGGTTATGTCCTCACATGATGATATCATTAAACTCTTTGCAGTGTTTGAAATAGTTTGAAATGTAGCATGTCAGGCTCATCATGCTGAATGTGCACTGAAGCAGCCCCCCACCCCCCCTGCATCCTCCATCAACTTTTCTCCTCAAGTCTTTTTATTGTCTTGATTTGATTTTGTTCAGATGCTAAAATAAAACCTAAGAGCACTTCCAAGATGAAAACAAAACAAACAAAAAAAAAAACCTGCAGCTCACCGTCTCTTGAGTTTCTCCTTAAGCAGTAAATGATTTACTTGAGGAAATCATTAAGCTTTTGGTTATAAATTGGTGGAATACTTTAACAAACAGGCGACGTGTCTACGTTGACCTGAAGTGATTGTTCTGTCGGCGGCCTTTAAACGAGGGGAGGAAAAAACTTTTAACTTTTAATGACGTTCAGCACTGAATTTACCTCACCACCCTCCTGCCAGTGCAAGAGGGCACTTGTACATTTTGGTCTACTGCACTGTTGGACTTGACCACTGGCTTGTGAGGAGTTGTCGCAACAATTAAAATTTCCCAGAAGAACTGTGTCGTGTCATACTTTTGTCCTATAATCTGGCGTTCACTGAGAGAAAGGCAGGGTAAAGTCCTTAGGTCAACATGTTGCTCTAATGTGATCTTTGAAACTTGCTTTACAGGATCCAGAAATCCAGCCTTTTTGTTTTCCGACCCTTCCTTAAATTCCTTCTCACCAGGATTCACACAGTACCGCATTTACTGAGCAGCTTCTGCTAACTGGGCATGAGGTGCAGAAGGGTTTCAGAGTTTCTCTGTCAAAAGGACTTAAATATTAAATGTTTACACAATTCAAAGTCCATTTTTTTAAACTAACAGTGGTTAGCTTAAAGTAAGCATCACATACCGAAAGCTGACGTTATTATGGAAAAACAGCAAAAACAATCCGTCACAGAATGAAATATATAAGTCCAGGTAAAGTGTTCACTTCTTGGTTGTTAAAGGTTAAACCTGCTTTTAATGAGATATGCAGCTGTATTGTTGCCCCTCCCCCGCCTGTTGTTCCCAGTCAGCTGGCTGATAAGCTTCAAGGAGAACACATTTGTATTTTTGGAAATATTACTGCTTGAGAAAAAGACAGTCAGGGTGTGAAAACCAAAACTCATATTATAGTTACACTTTAATATGGATTGCAAATTGGAACATATAAGCGGCCTGCTAGCGAGCAAGCTAGCTTGACTATGATAAAGTCATCTTGTCCTCTATGCACTGCAGAATAATGTCTGTAAAATGTAGCAGATGTATGTTCTATATTTTGTCTTAACTCTAAGTGTCAGAATCAAGATAAAAGTACAAATGTTCACAATGAACAGCTATGAACATGTTATTGGTAACATTAATATTAGAAATACAATATTTTTTAGCAACAGTGCTCCTAAAGTTAGATCATCTTAAATCTTTAGTGTCAAATGTAATGTTTCTGCTGCTGGGAGCAACCGTTTTGTTTTCTTTAAATCTTTAATAGTTTATTAAAGGGGTAATATGCAAAGCCTGGTAAAATAGCTGGTCTTGGCAATGACACTGCAAAATTAAGATGGAGATGAAATCAGTGCTGCTAGAGGCTCAGTTTTATTTCACAGAAAAGAACATTGTGAACTGCTGAGACTTTAAATGATCTCTTTAAACACGTTTTATGTGGAGAAATCTGATACAAGTGGAAAAGAAACCGAATCAGGCCGAGTGAAGCAAGGAGCCAATTGGAATTTTATCTGACTTTCTGCAAATATTTTTGCCTAAATTGTTCTGAGTTAACCTAAGACACGGGCAGATTAGTGCTGAGTGGTTTCAGAGCGGCGGACGCTTGCCAGTGAGGAAGACTGAAAGCAACGTGAACAGAACAAGTAAAGAGAAAAGGTGATAACTGCTTTAATTAAACAGAAAGGAGGCAACAGGATGCCCGCTGAGGTTTTAAAATTTAAAACGTGACAGCATGTGTTTATAGTTGGAATCAGATGGATTTTTTTTTTTTTTTTTTGCTGTATTTTGGGTATAAAATTGAGTGAATTTTAAGGCTGGTGAGTGTTCATGCTTTCGCCCATCTGGAAAAAGGAGTGAGGAAGGTTCCAGTAACTCCTTTCTACCTTTTCTCTATCTGGCGTCGTTTAGTTACGTTACAGACGATCTCTTTTCCTCTCCCATCGAGCTGCAGGACTTTCCTGCCTCGCTTCACCATGTCAACATGGCCGATGGGGGTTAAAGAGGCTGCTTGACACCAACAGGCTTGGTGACTGAGTCGCTCTGTGGGAGCTCCAGCCACCTTTCAGAAACCTCTGCAAAAAAAAGAAATAGAAGGCCACCTGTGTGTGTGTGTGTGTGTGTGTGTGTGTGTGTGTGTGTGTGTGTGTGTGTGTGTGTGTGCGCGCGCCTGTGTGTTTACAGCCCACAGTAAGAGAACCTGGCCTTGATGCCCTTGACAAACACTGTCCTTGGGATGTGAAATGTGAATGTGTGGCTGTCTGTGTGTGTGTGAGTGATAAAAGGTTAAAAAAGTGTGTTAAAGCACAGGTGGCCAGCTTGACAGTTGGACCTTCCTGATATGATTAAAGATATTGTGGTTCTCACTGAGGCCCGGCAGTTCAAACTGACTGCATCACCAATGCATTTCCACAGGAAACGCCTCATCTAATGGAGCCGGCTGACGGTCACCTGAGCTGAGGCTGCGCTTCGTTTTTAAGTAGAGCATGTTTCTCACAGACCGACTCGGAATGACATGCCACTCTGAAGAAGAACTCTGCATATTGTCCTCCATGTTGTTCGGAAAAAACACGTTTCTGAAAGAGTTAAAGGGGAAACAGGACAGGAGATACTCAACGAGTTCATGCAGACCGAGCCGGCCCGAGGCAAAGCAAAAGAAATCACTGCTTACAGCGACCAGGGCAGCAGAGGATCCTGCAAAATAAAAATCCACAAATTATTAAATATTTCAGTATACAAATTATTTTTATTATATTTGAATGAATTTCCTTTTTAAATAATTAATTAAGCTTTGTGTGCAAACATATGAGGTGAAACTTTGATAAATCGGTTATATATATATATATATATATATATATATATATAGATATAGATAGATAGATAGATAGATAGATAGATAGATAGATAGATAGATAGATAGATAGATAGATAGATAGATAGATAGATAGATAGATAGATAGATATGATGAAAAATGTTTTGTCTCTCAATAACAATTTACAACAAAATGCAGTAAGAGCAAATAGAGATTCTGCAAGTTCTGCATTCAAAAACAGTTTTCTGCCAAATATTGAAATTTGTAGTTGTAAACCTTCTACAATGCTGTGCCACATTTCAAAAATAAGTGGTAAATAAAAAAAATATCAATATATCAAATGAAGATGGCCAGTAATAACGTCAATAAAGTCCATAAACAAATCTCCTGTCAGATGAAGCTCTGCAGTCATTTTTTTAAACCTTCCTGCCATTGAAGACATGTGGGAGGCCGTGCCTTAAGACAACAGCATGCTATCATTTTCATCGCAACTATAAAAAAATGTGGAGTATTGTATATTTTAAAACCGGGCAACATGAATCAGCTTTAGTTTTGTCACTCTTAAGATTGAACTGAAGGTGTCCTAAAAAATCTCATCTTGGTTTTCCAGTTGAACTCCCTCCATGTTGGGCTATTTGTATTTTTGTGAGCAAGCCTCCTCACACTCTTCGTCTTCAGTAATTGTATTTGCTGATGGAGTTTTAATCATTCCTGTTTGTATCTGAGCTGAGGGTCACATTTCATCCATACACCCTGTTGGCAAAAACAAAAAAATTAAACATGTATCTGACAATTTTCCATAAGTTGGCCTCTGGATCTAAGCAATGCTAATTAAACCTGTTCTTTCATCCTGACTGGAATGTTTTCAAGAGCAGAAACGTAAGTCCATGAAATAATCTAATCTGCACAATTTTTTTTACAGCTTTTGCCTTCAAAGACTCTTGATGTACTTACGTAATAAATCAGGGTTTCAGCAAGTCAAATGTAATACTTCTAAAGACCTTTTTAATGCAAACTTGAATGAAATTCAAGACCGAGATAAGCGTAGATATCGGGGACGGTTGGTGGATCCTGCTGCATTACAAACAACCTTTGCAAAAATAGTGAAACTTCTGAGCTCTAATTGTGGCTTTTCCAGCAGCTTTGTGCTGTTCACACAACATGGCTCTCTACAGAGAGTGGTGAGTTTAAACATTTTTAACCTGGCCTTGTAAGGAATGGAAACAGAAGTGAGCCAGTGGCAAAGACAGACAGGCGATACATTGTCACTTACCCATGATGGATGCAAAAAAGCTAGCTAGCTGTCCAGCTAGCAAGGGCATATTATAGTAGCTAGCTACCAGTAGCCTCAACCACATCAAGTTAGACA